AGATAGGTTGCTAGAGAATACTATGTTAGATTATCTTTGATGTTAGAATACAAGAACCCTATAAAAATTTTAAATGGAGTTATAATCTCTACTGATGCATTTTTTAAAATACATATTTTGAGAATCATGCACAGTCAATTGCAGCTGATATATCTAGAGTTCAGACTTTGTTTTTGTTCCACTATATGTTATTGAAAAAAGATAAAGTTGACCTAAGGAAAGACTACTTTCAGTCAGTAGTTAAAAAAAGAAATCATTGAGCACTTGAATTTTTTTTAGACTTGGATTACACTATGTCTATGAAGAACCAACAGAAATTTTTCAATTAGAAAGGGCTTAAGGTCTTGGGGTTGGAAGTGTATTTCCTGAATGGTTTTGTCTTTCAAGCTAGTATTAAACTTTTGGAATAATTTAATTGACAGTCTTACCAGTATAAAATAGTAAGTCAACTTGGAATTACCCAAATGTGTTTGTATGCATTACACGTTGTTCAGCAAAAATTTAGCAATTGTGTTTTTAGGTTGTTGGAAAAGTCATGATGTCTTTTCCTATGTTTTCTATGTAAAAATACATCATTTCTTTTCTGACAGCCCAATAGATTGTACTATAGAAAAAAGGGCCACTCCTGCCATCGAGCTTGCAAGGTGATTCTTGTTCTCTATTTATATTGGGCAATCTCAAAGTTAGCTTTTAGCTGCCTTGTGAAAGTAGATATGTGCATTGACTCCCCAGTTCAGATCAACCAACACTGGTCTTCATTTGAAAAGTAATCTTAGACTTATATTCACAACCCTTCTTTGACTAGAAACCAAAATTTTAATTTGCATAGGAAATGAAAAAGAAACCATGTCTCCTTCCCATTTCCACGTCTTAAGTCCCATGAACCGTTCCTCATGTGAGTCTTCTTTGCCCTTTCTGTAATACTTTTCTTCTTCTTTTTCTTCTGAGAGTTTTGTTTTCATTTTTGTTTTCATTTTTTTCCTATAGGGCACATACACTCACCTGAGAGATAGAAAGCAAAAAATCACCCCCCAGGGGGATGGCCACACCACAATCCCCACACCACAGTCCCCTCTCCACTATACTCCTCTTGGGATTTTGGGCACTCATGCATTCATGCCCAGCATGAGTTTCAAACTGCCAGGTGCAGGACTCAAACCATAGTCGACCACGTGGAAGGTCAGTACCTTAACCACTATGCCACCTGCTGGCCCCAGTAATACTTTTCTTCCGATGGAGAGAACCAAGCAGAGATTGTCATTTGGGGAGATGGGTTAGAAGATGAACATGTAATTTTTGTAGCTTCATTAAATAACTTGATCAAAATGATCACTAATATTCTTATTGTCATTTTTACCAAGTTATATAGTTCATGTTTTACCCAGTGGAACAGAAAGGAAAAAAACTACGGAGAGATGTCATGTTTTAAAAAATTATATATATTCTTTACCTTTTTTGTGTTCTTTGAGCATAAACAGTGACTATATAATTTAGGATTAGAAAGGAGGGACCAGCAGGTGATGTAATGGTTACATTGCTTGACTCCCACATAGTCAACCGCAGTTCAAGTCCTGAACCCGGCAGCTTAAAACTCATGCCAGGCATATGTGTATACACATGCCCCAAATCCTAGAGGTGAATGGAGGAGAGGGATTATGTTGTGTCCATCCCCCTGGGGGGCTTATTTCTCACCTTTTGTCTCTGTCTCGCTCTCTGTCTCTCTGGCAAGTGCATGCACCCTATAGTAAAAAATATCTGCCCCCCCCCAAAATTTTTTTTTAATTTAAAAATTACAAAATTTTTTAAAAAAATGGAAACTCAGATGTATGAGATAAATACTTATGGGCTAGTGCATATTCTGTGTTATTAGAGATAAGACTTAAGATGTACAATTAATCTAAATGACAGGTATACCTGTTTTCTTTTTCTCAGTAAAAACTATTTATTGTTTCTTCCTTTGTTTTGTTTTTTAGGTTTTTGCCATGGGGCATGTGTACTCACCAAAGAGAGACAGTGAGAGGGAAAGTGAAAAATCACACTCCAGGAAGAATGGCCATGCCACAATCCCTTCTCCTCCATTCTCCTCCTAGGATGTGGGGCACACATGCACATGTGCCTGACATGATTTTCAAGCTGCCAGGAACGTGACTCAAATCAGGCCATGTAGGACTCCAGCACCTTAACCACCATGCCACCTGCTGGCCTCTATACTATTATTTGTAAAATGCAGATTTCTTTTTCTAAAGCACATGATGTTGAAACATTAGTCTTAAGTCAAAAAAGTTAAGAAGTTGTGTTTAGGAAAAGCACAGCCATGAAAATTAAAGGAGCAGATCTACAAAAGCTTTATTACTAGGATATTTTATGAAATAGGCAAGAAGTTTGAGCATGTATGTCTAACTCAGTATGACAATAGTTTCAGAAATTTCTGTCTCTTGAATGGTATCCATAACGATACTTAATATTTCACTAACCTCCAAAGCAGATTCAAGGATACTATAATTTTATAAAGCATTTTGTTTTATAGCTCTGAAAATATGCTAGTAAATTTTAAAATGTACTTAATATAATAAATCCATATCTAGAAAGGCTAACATTTGTAAACCAGTACTGTATCCCAATAGTCTAAGCTGCAGATTTATAATAATAAATTTATAATGGAAGTGGCTCTTTCCATTTTTTCCCCTCTCCTCCCACACTGGTACTTCATTTTTCTAAACCCCAGTCCCATGAAGACCTTGCAACACAGCTGCCATCAGTTGGTGGAGTGCCAGTTTTCCATTGTCTTGTAGCAGTGATTTGTTCCTGACACTCTGAGCACGCTTCTCCATTTGGGATAGTCTGGTTAATGGAATTGTAATATACACCAAAACATGGTTTACCAGTCTTCAAAGGACCAGAGAATAAAAAAATACGTACAGTAAAATGGTAGTGAATGTAATTTAATCTTTGTTCTTTTTGATCATCTGTTTAAGAATTGGATGCCCCCCAAGGGGCTCTGATGAACCATCAGTTATAAATGTGATAAAGCAGCAGCCCTTTGCTAGTTAACAAAGATCAGTTTGACCAAATGCTAGATGACAGAAGTTGATACATCTTATAAGTTAGGAAAAAGTAGATTGCATAATTGCTGTGGTGTCTGGGGTGGTTGGATGAGGGGGAGCCCAGAGCCAAGAGTTCTCAGTATAGCCACATTAGCTTCATGTTTCTAGAAAAAAGCTCTGGACTATATGGTATAAAATGGTCATTCTGACTTTAAAGAGGGAGGTAGGAATGATCTCTGTTCCTTCTGGAATATTTCCCTGTAGGGCATGAAAAATCAATGCCTTTGCAGTTCTCCACTTGAATGGAGGTAGGCCCGGAAGGAAAGTAAAGGATTAGGAAGTCATTTCCCAGATTTTTCCACCATGGGATAGAAACAGCTAAGTAAGAAAGTAAGAAGTAATTGTAATAGGGTTTTGTTTTGTTTTATAAGACAGTCTTGCCCATGTTGCAATTCTCCTTCCATAACTCCCTGCAGTTGCTAGGATTACACATGTGGATCACTGCACCAGGCCTGTAGGTTGAATAGGATTTGGGTTTTGTTTTGTTTTGTTTTCTATGGTCTTTTTTTTTTTTTTTTTGGATGCTATTTCTTTTTTTCCATTTCATTTTCTTTTATACATTCAATCACCAAGTCAAGGTGGATCAAGGACCTAAATCGAAGGCCTCAAAGTATAAAACTGCTCCTGGAAAACACTAGGGAAACTCTGGGAGATATTGGGGTAGGGAGAGACTTCTTAAGTAAGACCCCCAAAGCACATTCGATAATTCCCAAAATAGACAAGTGGGATTACATCAGACTAAGAAGTTTCATCATGGCAAAAGACACAGTGATTAGTGTGAACAGACAGCCCTCAGAATGGGAAAATAGTTTTGTAAGCTATGCATCAGACAAGGGACTGATAACCAGAATTCACAAGGAACTTAAGCAGCTGTTCTGGAAAAAGACAATCAATCCTATTAAAAGAAGGGAGAATGAGTTGAAAAAAACCACTCTGTAAAGATGACATATGAATAGCTAAAAGGCATATGAAAAAATGCTCAACATCCCTCATTGTAAGGGAAATGCAGATCAAAATGAGATACGGAGGGTGGGGGAGTTGGTAAAGGGAACTCTCTTACACTGCTGGTAGGATTTGAATTTAAGCCTCACATGTGGTCCTAGTCTAAAGAGCACAGTGTCTTAGCCACTGCAGCTGGGCCAATGAAAAGTTTTTGAAGGAAAAGGCGTATCTAAACATTTCTGTTTACAAGTGAAGATATGCCAGTTTTTAAATAGTATACTGCTATACCAATTTTACATTGAACTTGAACCTGAAATAAAAATACAGACGAAAAACATTTTAATTCAGCTATGTTTATAACTTTGGGCTACTGATTTAACTTGTATTTAAACATTGGTAGTTCCCAGGCCAGCTGGTGGCTTTGCAGTAAATGCATCTGGATCCCACATGGCTAACTGTGATTCAAGTGCCAGACCTGACAACTTGAAAATCATGCTGGGCCCGTGCATGTGCATGCTGAAAATCCTGAGAGGAGAATGGAGAAGAGATTGTGGCATGGCCATCCCTCTTGGAGGATGCTTTCTTTTTTTTTATCTTTTTTTTTTTTTTTTTTTGGAGAGATTTTCACTATAGGGCGCGTGCACTCGCCAGACAGAGAGAGACAGAGAGACAGGAAGCGAGAAATTACCCCCCAGGGGGGGATGGCCACGCCACAATCCCTTCTCCATTCTCCTCTTGGGATCTTGGACACGCACGCACACGTGCCCGGCATGAGTTTTAAGCCACTGGGTCTGGGATGCGAACCGCGGTTGACTACGTGGGAATCCAGCGACATAGCCATTACACTAACTGCTGGTTCCCTTGGAGGATGCTTTCTCACATTCTCTTTTTCTGTCTCTGTTTCTCCTTCTCTGGTGAACATAGGCACCCCACAGCAATTATTTCTTTTTATAAGTAGGTAGTTTCCTCCTTTTGGCAAAAAGGAGATTACTATGTGTATCTAGGGAAACATATTTCTACCTAAGAGAAAAATTTTAAAGTGGCAACTGCTTATCTTACTGCTCAAAATCAAGATGACTGCTGTGACTGCACTGGGCCATCTAGATATGGAAGACTTGAGGGAAGTTTTGAGCATTCAAAAAGCATAGCTAAAAAAACATGGAATTGAAAGGTCATTTCTAAATTTATTGATCATCCCAAAATCAATACCTTAATTAAAAATTTCAGTGTTTTTTTTTTCTTTCAAAGAAGATTTATACTAATTTATACTTATTTTTTACTGAATTTTTTAAAGTTCAATATGAAAAAAGTCTGAAGCATGCCTGGTCTATTCGATTATTTATGTAGTCCTTAGTAGTTGTATTTCATAAATCAGAATCACTAATATTATGGTAGGAAACAAATTTTAATAAATTTGTTAAGTTTATTACTTTTTAAAATTATACATTTTCTTCCTCTCATAAGACTTGTGAATTATAATCATATCATCGAATGTATGTTAAAAATGTTTGTTTCATCATGTCAAATTTATAAATCACTGTGTTTCAGTCAGTTTTTGAATATCATTTAAAAAGTGCTATTTGTTAAATTGCATTCTTAGTTTCTTTGGAACATATTAGTCTCTCTCTCTCTCTCTCTCTCTCTCTCTCTCTCTGTGTGTGTGTGTATGTGTGTAAGAGAAAGAACAGAAATTTTGAGGTCGTTGAAGTCCTGTCAATTCTTGCCAATTATGAATGACTGTAAAAAATTTAATATTTCACAGGTGAATTAGCCCAATTTTTGGCATGTGTTTATAGTTTAGCATATGATGAAAAGCCAAACTATCAAATGCTCAAGAAAATTCTGAACCCAGGTGGAATACCTTTAGGACCATTGGAATTTTCCACTGAAGGACAGAGCATACCTGTGCGAACTCCAAACAGTGTAAAAGTAAGTAACATAGTCCCTGAGACCCTATGATTGTCTTCTATGAAACTTTTCTCTCAAGTTGTTTTAGGTCTCAAAATGAGCCTGACAGTTCAGTTGCTTGCTTATTATATTTACTAGGTCTTCGGGAAAGTCATGATATGTTTTTCTTTGCAAAAATGAGTTATGAGTTTTAAGATGACCCAATAGTACTTCCTTTAACTCAGCATAAGATTGTTGAAAATACTTTTGATCGGGACCAGCAGACAGTGTAATGGTTACATCACTTGACTGCCATGCATTCAGCTGGGGTTCCAGTCCCAGACCTGGCAGCTTAAAACACATGCTGGGCTTATGTGCATGCATACCGAAGATCCTGTGAGGAGAATGAAGAAGAAGAGATTGTGACATGACCATGACTCCTGAGGAGTGATTTCTCTCTGTCTCTCTGGTGAGCGCACATGCCCTATAGCAAAAATCTCCCTAAAAAAAACAAACAAACAAACAAAAAAAACAACTTTTGATCGATTACCTTTATAGAAAAACAGTAGCATCTATAACCTCCTAGAGTACTAAAAGAAATATTTATGGAAATATATATAAGTATTTAAAGAAGTAAAGTAGTCACTGACATCATAGAAATATGAGTGAAGTAAGGTTAAAGGCTAATCTGAGAATCTTTATTTATGAGAGCCTTTATTTGCTGCTTTTCTTCATTTGTTTTGTTTTCAGTGATTGCCCTGTTTTTGCCTTCCAGTTTGGCCATAACTTGGTGGTGATTATAGTCTTTGATTTGACCAAATTATTTATATGTGCTGATATTCTAATCTATGAAAACTTTTTAAAAAGAGAACTATCTATTTTAAAAGTTATACCTCATCTTTTACTCTGTCCTCTCGCAGCAGACTCATACTTTCTTTATAAAAATAAGAATTTAAAACAATACAAAAGAATTAGACTTAACACATTTTTAAAAGGGTGGCCGAAACCTGAGACTATTAGCAACATTACTGGACTAGCAACTAAATGATGTCTTTCTTGACACACTCTATATGCAAAAAAAAAAAAGTGGAGAGCTTTTTTTTCCTGATGAGTATACAATAAGGTAGGGTCAGGATGCCATTCATTTTTATTATTTCTTATGAACTTTGGATCATCACAAGTGTTCATGAGCCAAGAACGCAAGATGCAAACTAATGTGACTGATAGGCTGCTAGATGAATGGTGAGTCAAGTATCAGTGCACAGATGGTTCTGATTTGCTGAATTTTGTAGCTGCTGCAACTGAAGACATAAAATATCCTTCTAGTCATAAATTAGCTCTTTGGAAGCAAAACCTTGGCACCAGAGCTTTACAACCTTCAATTAGTAGGAAAAGAAGTATTTGAATGACTGTGGTATTGACATCTGTAGGCCTGCATAGTAATCATTCCTAATAGAAGAGAATATCTGTTTGAGGAGGTTTTGCATGGCTAATTAACTACCAGTGAGAATATGTAATTTTTTCATGATCTCCTGATTGTCACCTTTCTCTCATGATACAATTACATTTTATTGTAGCAAGTGCCTTACAAACCAATTGTCAGCACTATTTACGTATTGCAGAAGGCAGAACAAAAGTTCATGTTTAATAAAAAGCCACTGGATTTTGATCTTTGTAATTACTGAGACTTATTTTAACAGTTTTATTGACTTTTGTGTTTTTATTACTTTTGCAACAAAACAAAGAACCATTTCCTTGACATAGTATTTTCATTGCAATAATGGTCAACACTTAATCTACCCTAATTTAAGTTGATTTTTTTTTCCTTTTTGGTAGTTTTTCAGGTTTATAAACTTAATTGAAATATCAAAGAGACCATTTTTTAAAAAATGATGGCTATATCCTCGGATATAAAATTCTAATTATCCATCAGAATTTTCAGTTTCATCAAATTCGAAGGGATTTTGTTGTGAAACCACTGTTATATGAGAATAGAACATAAAACATTTTTTTCAATGAATCTCCATCAATTTTTTTTATTCTTTCTATTGATTGGAGCATTTGATTGATTCCAAAGAAGACCCATAAGGATAATATGTATTCTTAAGATCTTGATTAATTTCCATTAAAATATGAGCAGCCCAGGGGCTAGCAGGTGGCATGGTGATTGGGGTGGGTAGACTCCCACATGGACTCCCACAGCAGTTGAGTCTGGGACCAGGTGGCTTGAAAATCACACTGGATGCATGTACATGTATGCTCAATATCCTAAGAGGAGAATGGAGGAGAAGGGATTCTGATGTGGCTATCCCCTGGGGGGTCATTTTCCACTTTTCTTTTCTCTGTTTATCTCTCTCTTTATCTAGCGTGCACATGTGCCCAGTGGGGAGAAAAAAATGTGATCAGCCTGAATATTTAGATGGTAAGATCATTAGGGGATATTTTTCACAGAAGGTGAAGTTCCAAAAAGAAGTAACCCTTCCAAACTCATTCTATGATGCCTCCATCATCTTGATACCAAAAGCAGAGGACATAACAACAATAAAAAGCTATAGACCAGTATCCTTCATGAATACAGATGCAAAAATCCTCAACAACATACTAGCAAATTGAATCCCTCAGCACATTAAAGATTATACATCATGACAGGCAGGCTTTCTCTCAGGAATATGTAGATGGTACAACATACACAAAATAATAATTGTAATATATCACATTAACAGAAACATAACCATAGTTTCATATCAATTGATGTAAAAAACATTTATTAAAATATAACATCCCTTCATGATTAAGACTCTCAGCAAAATAGTTGTAGAAGGTACATTTCTCAACACAATTAAAATCCATATGATAGACCCATAACTAACATCATGTGAGTGGAAGAAAACAGGAAGTTTTCCCACTATAACTTGGGATAAGACAAGGCCACCCATTTTCTCCACTTTTTTTTTCAATATACTAATGAAAGTTTTAGTTAGTGCAGTCAGACTAGAAAGTAGAGTAAGCATTCAAATAGGAAAAGAAGAGATGAAATTTGTATTCTAAGATGACATGGTTACATGCATAGAAACTCCAGGAGAATCCATGAAAAAACTCTGAGAAGTGGTAAATGAATTAAGGAAGGTGGCAGGATACAAAATGAATATCCAAAAATGTATAGCATTTTATTTTATTATTTTTAAATAATTTTTTATTTATTAATTTTAATACTTATATATACATTTAATCACTTCATCATTTAGATTGTAAAGAGACTTTACCTAGCATGACACACACCTCAGTCCAGCCCAGTTGAGAACAAACGCATGTCTTCATTAACAAATAATAAACCATATCTGCATCCCAAATGCCTTGCCTCTCCATTATTTCCCCAAATTTCCTTTCCTACGCCTGCCCCTCCCTCCACTAATGTATAGCATTTTAATACATCAACAATGAAAAGACTGAGGCAGAATTGAAGAAAGCAATTCCAAAAGAAATAAAATAGCCACACAGGGCCAGCAGGTGGCATGGAGGTTAAGGCGCTGATCCTGTATGGCTGGCTGCCCAGTTCAAGTTCCGGACTTGGTGACCTGAAAATCACACTGGGCACTTGTGCCTGTGTGTTCAAAATCCTGAAAAGAGACTAAAGGAGAGGGGATTGCAGTGTTGCCATCACCCCTTGGAAGGTGATTTTTCTTTCCCTCTCTCTGTTTTTCTAGTGAGAACACACTACCTATAGCAAAAAAGCTAAAAAAAAAAAAAAAAAAATTAGCCACACAAAAAGTTAAATTATCTAGGAATATACCTAAAGAGATGTGAAAGACCTCTGCAGGGAAAACTATGAGAAACTTGTTGCTTGTTTTGTTACCAATTTTATTTATGTGTTTCCTTTCTTTGTTTTTCTTGATTAGTCTAGATAATGTTTTGTCAGTTTTGTTTATCCAGTCAAAAATACAGTTTTCATCTTATTGATTTTTTTGTATAGTTCTTTTATTCTCTATTCCATTTATTTCTGCTTCAATCTTTGTCATTTCTCGTATTTTAAAAAGAATTATTATTTAATTTTATTTATTATTATTTTTCTTCAGTTTGACCAAAGAGAGGCAGACAGAGAAAGGGAGAGAGGGGGAGAAAACAAACCACAAGGTTCAGGACTCAAACTGCAGTTAGCCATGTGAGAGTCCAGTGCCTCAACCACCATACCACCTGCCAGCCCCAACTTCTTTTTTTTTTTTTTTGGAGAGGTTTTCGCTATAGGGCGCGTGCGTTCGCCAAACAGACAGAGAGAGACATAGAGACAGAAAGCGAGAAATCATCCCCCGGGGGGGGTGGTCATGCCACAATTCCATCTCCTCCATTCTCCTCTCGGGATCTTGGGCATGCACGCAAACACGCCTGGCGTGAGTTTTAAGCCACCGGGTCCGGGACGCGAACCAGGGTCGACTACGTGGTAATCCAGCAACATAGCCATTACACTAACTGCTGGTTCACTACTTCTGCTATTTCTATTGTTCTTCAAAAATGTTCCATGTGGGGATGAAAAAAATATGTTATTTTGTGATTGTTGGGTATATTAAATGTCTGTTAAGTCCATTTGGTTCACGATGTCATTTATACCATGTGTGTCTGTTCTTTGTCTAGATGATCTGTTCTTTAATGTCAGGGAGATGTTGAAATCCCCAACCATTATATGTTGCAGTCTCTCACTCCATTTATATCTAGCAATCTTTATGTATTTTTATGCCCTAATGTTGGGTGCATAAATATTTATAATTGTTACATATTCTTGTGAAGAAGATGTATATGACACTATATGAGTGTCCTTTATCTCTTTTTGCAATTTTTGTCTTTTTTGTCTGATAGCAGTATCTTGATTATAGCCTTTTCTTATTTCATATTTGTGTGAAATTACTTTTTTCTAGCCTTTTTGGTCTACATATGCCTTTACCAATGAGGTGTGTTTTTTTGTAAGCAGCATATAGAAGGTTCCTGTTTTTCAGTGTCTTCAGCCAATGTGTCTCTTAATTGGAAGAATTTAATCCATTAATATTGAATAT